CTCTGCTTAGCCCTAAGCTCACCGGATTCTTGAGAACTTTTTTGACCATGCTGGGTAAACTAGTTACCCCCTTCTCAGTTTAACTGTCTGAACTACCCTAACCATAGCATTCTAATAGATGATACTAAGGCTTATTGCATGGGTGCCATTTTCTTGCAGTAGATTATGAGTTTCTGAAGGGCAGGGGCTGCTATGTGAATTTGTGCCTCCCTGGTCCCTCCCGGGCACAGAGCAGGCTCTCAGCAAATGCTCATGCATAAAACTGTGAAAGGCAGGCACAGCACACAAAGTAATTACTTTAATATAAATAAGGATCTAGGCTTTGTTGGGAAAATGAAGATTGTAAATACCTCACATACTAAAATCTTCCATCACGACAGAAACACCTGTGACCGTTTTGGTGTGTTGCCAGCATTGGTCCTAAGTAAGTGACAATTAACAGTGGAGATTTATTGAAACCTTTCATCCACCGAGTCTTTATTGGATAAATTAATTTTAGCCCCTTCCCAGGGCTGTTTTCCTTCCTTAGTCCAATCTGCTCATCAATGTGGAATGATTCAGAAACAGATCCAAATAAGAGAGGAGACGTTACATGTCTTCCTGTAGAAGGACAAAGTTAAATTAAAGGGGCAGGGAAAGATTCACCATATATTGATGAGTTCTGCCGTGTCACTCACATGGTAAATTCAGAAGAGTGGAAAAACCCTAAACCTGGTCACCTCTGGACTAAGGAAAATCATTGGTTACATAACCTAAATCAGCTGTCTCCATTTTTTGCATCCTATGATGTGGTCACTCCCGGGTCAAGCCTCTGTGCATGTGAATAGGGAGGGATGGGAAGTCACCCTGCTCTGTGCTAACTTTGTTCTAGGTCACATCCTAGACCCTACACTCAGCCAGATGACCTACAAAAGGGACCCATGGATGTAGTACACTGGTCTAGCTTCTTCATCTGCCGTTTCCTCTAATGATGCTGAATGTGTGCTCGAGATGCCGGTGGCTTACGGCCGTAAGTCAAATGCCATGAACGTATATTTATATCACTGTATTATAGTTTATATTACTGATGGAGCTAAATAGGCCTTCGTTGACTATATTTCTACAGGTGAATTCTGAGGCACATACTCCCACGATCTTTGTTAGGAACGAAGACACTCTTTATAAGTCAAGGATGCTAAGAAGAGAGAAACGCTTTGTAATAGTTGCAAATAACAGAAATAGGAAAATCGGGTATAAAGGGTCAGAAGTGCCTACAGTTTTAGCTTTGGGAGAGTTATATTTCTTCTGATGGAGTAGAAAGTTTTTGAAAGATAAAGAATTTAAGAGGTTATAAAATGGATGGTTCATTAGGGGGTTTTGGAGAACTGTACTTTCGGCTTATGGTGGAGCCTAGCCAGAGAAATCACGTCAAAAGATTATTACTTTTTGACCTTGAGTAAAATTAAACTTGTCAGAGGATTTCCTATGCCTGCTTGTGAATGCATGCCGATATTTATGGAGGCAGACTCGCTTTACCTCCCTCAATGCACACACATTTCACACAAATGCACACCCCTCAAGACTGGAGGCCGAGAGCACGGTTATACATATTCATAAGATAATTATTATTAATGTCACCAGGGTGATATTGTGCCTTCTCAGTAGAGACGGGTTTTTGCACCTAGAAACCAATCAACTGTAGGAGAAATGGCAGCTTTGAGGCAGCCCAGGTGAAGTGATCGTGTCTGTCTTACTTTTGAAATACAGATTATTTGACTAGATATTTTAAATGGCCTTGTGTCTGCACCCCATCATTAAGCCTACCCAGCAGAACTTTCCAGCTCTAGCACATAGTTCATTGGCCATGGGAGCATAGTTTCTGGAGTTCGGAAAAACTTGATTAAAAATTAAACAAAACATAAAGATGATTCTAAAACATCTCAAGAGATTTCTGGGAAATGATTTTTGTAAAGATGCATTTGGGAGAGAATTACAACACGTTTGCTACTTTTCTTATTAAAAAATTTCATACAATAGGCATTATTAAAGAGCTATTGCAATCACACAGACAAATTTTCAAAAATAAATAAAAATGGCTACTGGTGACAGTTCACTAGATCTCTATATATCTATCATAGATTCTCTCCCCCAACCAATTGGCCTGGCTGGTTATTCTAGGTACCTGATATATCAGAACATGGGATATTACTGTGAACTATTGTTTTCAATCCAAGAAAACTAATTACTTTTGGTTGAAATTAAAATGTTTATTTTTTTGCCACAAACCTAAGAAAATGTTAAATAAGCTGAATACTGGTATAGGTACAGAATCGTGGAAGACACTTAGAGCTCCATTGCCATATCAACAGGTACCTTTCTGGAATACTGCTCTGAACCTTAGTGAAACAACAAAAAGAAGCCCAGGACGACAGGGGACGGCAAGGACATGGCACCCACCTTAGGCATCCAGTGGCATTTCGCAGCACCTGTGAGGAATGGAGCTGTATTTTCCGATCGTCCTGAAGGGGTGAATTTTCCCAGCCCGAGTGGGGGATTATCACCGCATTGGTCAACACCGCCAGGGTGTCCTGGATGATTGGCATTTTGAGAGCGTCGCAAGACGAGAGGTTCCAAAGGACTCCTGGAAGACAGACACAAACGGAGCTTTTGGATGGCCACCGTTCTCCCTCATCGGGTGAGCAGCACTGGCAGGAAGGGCTGAGATAGTGTCCCCAGAGCACCCTTAACTTTAGAACATGTACGTGAAGCCTTTAAAAGAGTGCTGTGGCTACCTGACAAGTGGGCAGAGGACCTGTTGCGTGCTTATCTCTGTTCCATCAGGGGGACTACCCAAGGCTGAGAGATCTAATTGAATCGAGGATACTGACCAGGCTTCCATTCACTCTTAATACAATGGACTCAAAGTCCTCAATTCGAACTGAGACCAAAGAGCTGTGAAAGCGATCTGAAATGGACTACTGGGTCTGTCTGTTTTATCCACGACCGCCATCTGCACATGTGGTCCATCCGATCCACTTAGCTCCCATGTGGAACCAGTCACTGTCTCACGGGACCTTAGGAGAATTTAGCATCAGGTCTGATGACAACGGGCTCAACAAGAAATTTAAATTTACTGTCATTTGTGAAAGTTTTGTCAGCTTTTCTCTCAAAGTAAGGCTCATGGAGGATCTACAGATTGTTACTCCTTCTATAATGCCAAAGAGAGCAGTAGAAAGTGGAGGGCAGAATAGTAATTAATGTAGGCAGGGCAAAAGAAAACTTTTTTTTAGGACAGATGTAATGTTTTAGGGTTTAAATATTTTTAAAGAGGCTTTACAATGGGATTAATTTTAGTAAAGGTCATAGGTACTGTATATATATCACTTGAAAAAGCTTTTAAAATAATTATTCTTTCAGTTGTTCAAAGCTGTACACATAAAGGTAAAAGAAACAGGAAATAATATCCCATTTTATTATGAAAGATTGTATTTTCCCTCATTACCAACTGTAATAGGCATCATCATGGGAGATATTGGGAATACAATATCATAGTTGTCTTAAGAAACACAATTTCCAATTTACTTGTTTAATAAGTTTTCAATAGTTTTTAAGACAAGATTGTATTTTGTCTACTGTGTTACGAATAGAATGAACAGAACACACTTATTTCTGAAACTGGTTTTCCTACTTTCTTGCATTGCCCATATTAAATATATTATTCCAAGCACATTAATAATCCTAATTTGAAAGTCGATAATGTTAAATTGTTAATAACTAAAGTAGCTAACAGTTTTAAATCAATTCTATAAAAATGGGACTTTAGGGACAAACTCTACTATCTTTCAAAATAACACGTACTGAGAATTTTATTTAAGTAAATGCACAGGAAACAAAAGTGTTTTTGGTGCCTTTTATGTACAAATTAATCCTTCGGAACAGGGGTTGGTTTGAGAGCAATTCCTGCCTGCTTGTTTCTTGTAAATAAAGCTTTATTGGAACACAGCCATGCCTGTGCATTTACATATCATCTATGCAACAAACTTTTCTCTGCATTTCTGTGTCCTACATTTGCATTGCCAGTGGTATCCTAAACTGAGTGCACAAAAAATGCTCAATGGTATACAGAAGGTACTTGTGTGTATTATATATAACATAATATGATATATTATATTATAAATATGTTCATTATATATTTATAATATATATTTATGTTATATATAACAAATAAATAATACGCAAATATATATATTCTTATTTGAACTGATTTGAAATACTAGAAATATTATCATATGTACTTATTTTGTTTTAAATAATTATATAATAACCTGTTTCTTTATTCATTCCATTAAGAAACATTTTGCTAAATTTTGGATAATCTAAATAATCAAAATAATTACCTTTGTTCATTTGCAATCTTAGAAAAATATTATTTTTCTAGTAAAATAATGGTTTTTTTTTTTTAGTTTTAAAAAGCACATCAAAAGGAAATTAATATCTACCCTAGAATTTGAGGGTGACTTTGTGAAAATGTCACATTAAAGGGTTTTATCTGTTTTTCTAAGTATAGAATGCAAACATACAAGGTAAACATAAGTTTTTCTAATTTCTAAATTCTGATTTGAAAATGCCAACACAAGAAAACTGAAATTTGCATGTTTTAAAATATGGGCATGTTTTAAAATATGGTTATGTTTTGCTGTAAAATACATTTCCTCCAAAAACTAAATGGTAAAAGAGAGATTTTTGCATTTCTACATGCAACGAATTTAAAAGAATCTAAAGGCACTCTATGATAATAAAACCATTTTCACTGTTATAATGATAACAGAAAAGAGGTCAGAAGACAAGAAAATCAAAGAAAATGTGAAGGTCTAATCTGATATCTGACAAGAAATGAAAGTATGAAAATAAGATGTGATCCAAAATAACTCTTTATTGGGCTATTCTCTCCCCTCTTTTCTCATTAATTCATTAATTAGTGTAACCTAATTCAGAATCCTGCAAGGAGAGCCGCTTCCTAGTTCTCAATCCTTCCACCTTTCCTGGCTGGCTCCATCTGTGCTTCATATTCCGATGAACTTATCGGTGCACTTGACCCATTTTTCTCTGAACTTGCCACCTTCATTTGTATCTGCAACACACAGTGCTTTCTGAAACTTATGAGAACCACAGTGGATCTCTGATCACGGACAGCTTTACCACCTCTGTTTGAATGAGGACTGGGCAAAGCGGTTGTAATGTGGCATAATTTCTTTTGAGGGAATTGAGCAAACCGGTCTCAGGGGGCCCCTCAAAACTTTGAGCTTTGGTTAGATTGTGTGGACACGGAGCCAAGCTTGAGTGTAGAAATGAGCAGTCTCTGGGACATTTGAGATGACGGTTGATCTGTACGGCAGGTGTCAGGAGTGAGAAACAGCTGGGAACTTCATATCTGTCTTGACGCGTGTGCATGCACGCGCACGCGCACACACACAAACACCCATTAGACATGGCTGAAAGGAGATAATTAGTAGAGAAAAACAAACACATCTAGACATTCTCTGTGAACTAATGGGAAATAGGTGTTTTGTTCAAATTTCTCTTCACTCATTCCTCTTTCTGCTGTGGTGGTTTAAGGAATGTTCACATATTTTTTTGACAGTCTCTTTAAATGGCCGAGACCAATCCTTCTCCTCATGAGTCACTTCTGACCAATAAAATACTAGCTGGAGGTGACTGTGAGGGACTTTTGAGACTAGATCATTAAAAAGGTATTGTGGCATCCTCCAAGCTCTGTCCTGGGTTGTTTGTTTGAGGGGAAGCCTGCTGTCATGCTGTGAGGACCCTCAAGCAGCCCTTTGGAGAGGCCCACGTGGTGAAGAACTGAGCCCTCCAGCCAAGAGCCACGTGAGTGCGCCATCTTGGATGTGGACCCTCCAGCCCGAGTCAAACTTTCAGATGACAGCAGCCTCACGAGAGACCCTGAGCCAGAACCCCTTGAATCTTCTGCTCTTGGATTCCTGCCACTCACACACTATTTAAGGCAAATGTTGTTTGAAGGTGCTAAATTTTGGGGTAATTTGTTATGTAGCAATAGTTATTCATGTCCCTTCCGTTCCCTCTCGGCCTCCCACTTTCTTTTTGCCTTTCTCCTTCTCTCTCCTTTCCCTTTGCAACTGGACCCATTTTCCCCTGCACACTTTCCCCTTCGTTACTCCTCTCATTCTAACTTAGATCCACTTGTTCCTTTATCCCCTACAGCAATCCTATGCTCTCATTACACCTGTTCTGAGTACAGAAGAGATCGGAAGGAGGATCCAATTCAACTTTGTAACGAAATGTAAAATGTATTTTAATTTAGAATACAAATGATATTTAAGTTTTAAAAATATATCCTTCTTCATGTTTGCAACTTATTAAATGGCCAAACCTTTCTTCAATTTGTAATAATCACGTATTAGTTTCTTATTGCTGCTGTAACAAGTGGCCACAAATACCGTGGTTAAAAACAATAAAGATTCTTAAAGTTTTGGAGGAGCAAAGTCTAAAATGGATCAGCAGAGTGGTGCTCCTTCTGGTAATGCTTCTGGCGCTTCTTCTGGAGGCTCCAAGGGAGAATTTTCTTGTCTTTTTAAGCTTCTACAGGCTGTTCCTTGGCTTGAGGCAGGCATCGCTCTGACCTCAGCGTCCACTGTCACATCTCTTTCTATGACTGATCCTCCTGTGTCCCTGTTCTAAGGACATTTGTGATTACAATGAGCCCTGCTGGATAATTCAGGCTAATCTCCCATCTCAAGTTTCTTCACTTAATCACATGTGCAAAGTCTCTTTCACTATGTAAGATAACATTCACAAGCTCTGAGATTTAGGAAGTGGACATCCTAAGGGGTGGGGGGTGGGGGGGATGCATTATTCAGTCTACCACACATCCCTTTAAAATATTCTGTTATGCTTAAAATAAAATGAAACGAATTGCAGTTTCATGATCAGGCCTCTCTCTATGCCTCTAAATTCCTCTTCAGTCAGATCCTTTCATCCATTCATCTGTTCCCTCCCTGGATATTCAGGACCCAGGTTCTGTTTCATAAAGTAGGCACGCTGGTGGGAAAAAAAATGTACCTGCCCTCCTGGTCCTTCCATTCCTGTAACTCAAGTCATTATGCTCTAGCCATCATGGCCTTATTTCTTCTTTTTGAAACACAAGCTCGTTTGTAACTCGGATCTTTTGAATTTACTGATCTCTCAGTCTGAAACATTCTCCAGAACTGTCCAAGGCTGATCCTTCTTTCTGTTTCACCTAGTACCTTAAATGTGCCAAACTCGGAGATTTTCTGGATCATTCTAAACTACCTTCCCGGACGCTTGCTATCAGATTTCCTATTTTAATTTTCAACAGCGATCTCATCACTAACACATAATTCCCATGCTTTATCATTACTTGATTTTCTGTCTTTTGCTCACTGTTCTTTCCCATGAGGTCTCAGCCATGAAATGAAAGCAAGGACCTAGTCCAAGTGCTCACAGCATACAGAACACATAGAGCACATAGAACATGTTCTGACACACGGCAGATGCTCACCAAATAGGTGAAATAAATACAGAATTAGCAATTAGATGATATGACCCCTATAAGATGCCATGTGCTCCAAGCATTGAACATTC